TAGAGATGGTGCCGAAATCGAATATTTCCTTAGAGAGTTCTTTTTAATTAATCAAATGAAATATGTTTGTAATATATCCTGTACTGAACACTTTTGATGTTTTATTCAAAAAAAACCACACAATAGCTCTACGTTACAATAAATGCACAATAACTCATGCAAAAGCTTGGAAGCAGAGGATGGTAGAATACAAGTATAATAAGGCATTTTTGTCCCTTACTGAGACCTGCATGCACAATATACGATCTACTCTTTATTTCAACCGTGGTAGTACAAGACTAGAGCAGGATTTAAGCAGAAAAAGCTGTGTTCCTTAGAAAAAGAAGCAAGCAGAAGAAAACAAGGCTGGGATTGTAGGTGTCCGCAAAGGAGAGATTTTGTGAGATGAGTCAATGTGGCTGGATCTGCGCTAGCAAATACAAGGCGGCACAGGCACAGGGCCTGAAGCAGCAGCGTGAGATCACCTGTACTTTTTAACTGTTTGCACAGCCTTCAGCACCAGTTTGACTTGGGCCAACTCTTCCCCCTCCCGGGCGGACCTGGCCACAGTTCACGGGATGTGCCGAGGACCGTTCCCCACAGGCAACTCATGATCCTATTATAACAGCACAGTTCCTTGTCTCTTCATCATTCAGTAAAACATTTGTAAATGATTCCTGTATCCCTCTGAGTGTAAACATTGTAACACTGGACAATTTACCATTCTGCAGGCCTTCACGGATCTAGAGGGGAAGAATTCCATTTTATCTGTTTAGTACTGATAATTCCCTTTAAAATTTATAACAGGGACTGGAAATTCAGCATCCTGGCAGCATTGCCACTAATTTTTGCAGGGTCTCATCTTCAACAAGAGTGCTGGCAGTTGCAAGCCACTTTTCAGCTAAGAGTGGACATACATTTAAAATCAGATTGCATAAGTTTTAGTTTTCTATTTAGCTCCCCTGCACTATTGTTAAAGCTCTAGAGAGTGCCTGCAGCCATGACACCAAAGCTCTCTGCAGCCACCAAAGCTTCCTCAGGTTTGAATTGAATTTGCAAATGCACATATGTAGCTGAAATAATTGCTGCAGTTGCCAGGCCCCTTTTGGCAATAACAATACATGGTTTACAGGCGGTTTCAGAGTACTGTTGCTTCCCATAAATAAAGACGTTTATGCAACAGTTGTGGTCATGCTGTTCTAAGATAGCTATGCCAATATCCTTTCGGGAGATACCTGTGTGTTTTAATCACTGCCAAGGTACCTCCTTCAGTGATCTTAATTCTGCAGCAGGGGAGTGTTAGTAAGCTTTCCTTAACGTCTAGCCTAAGAGTAAGACTTTTCCATCATGTCAGCCTATTAGCTGCCTTCCATAAGCTCCTGTCTGGATTAGAAATCTTCCTTTACATGACAGACTCTAACTGCTAACATTGAGGCTTTCTAGCAGTCTCTTTCTAATTGCCTGGGCCCAGATTCCAACTATGTCTTATACCAGAACTCAGTCAAGGCTGCAGAATTGCTGCATTGGCTCATCTGCCATAGATCATCCTCACAAACTTTAATAATTTCGCTTTCTTTCTCATCCCTCTGCTCATATTATACATTTATTCCGTTGTTTTATTTTATACCGAGTACTGTGCACCTCACCCACACAACAAGGTAGTTCCTCCTGCACCTGAACCAACTGAAAATCTTTTAGAACCCTAAATCCCATACAGTTAACCCAAAACAAAGCAAATATCTGTCCTCTCTTTTGGAAGGTGAAGTTCATAGAGAGAGGCTATTATTTTTTCATGAGATCGCTAACATAATCTTTTGGCCCTTCAGGCTCTTTTCTTCTGATGCTCAAAGTGAAGCACTGTTTTCACTCTTCTTTGAATCATTCAGAGTATTTCCAGAGTTTTACTCCGGTGGAACATCTGATCACGTTGTTCTTACTCTCCTTATTTCATTATTTTGCTTCCCACCAGCCCTACGTGCTAGTTAGGGGGTCTGGCACAGCCCTATGTTCTGCCCAGTCAGCTGTACTCAACATAAGCCTTGGGTCAGAACGGTCCGTTGCAAATATTTTTTCTCCCTTCAAACATACTACAAAGAGGTAAGAATCAGCAGGAGGAGGAGCGGTTTATGGCTACTGTTTTGAGTCCACACCCTCATCCAGAAAAGGGTGGCTTCTAGTTCAGCTGGAATATCGGCATGCCGAAATAATTAATCCTTCAGCCGCAGAATACCTCAAGGAGGGAAACCAGATGACCTGACAACTGAGAGATATGAGTAAGTGCTGCAATTGCTGTACTTTCAGTGCGAAATGCAAGATATTCCAAACTAAATATGTAGCCTCCGGATCCTTTCCATTAAGTTGTCAATTGCAGAAACCATATAAACTGTGAAATTGGTAACAAACATGGGGGAAAAAGAGAACGCATCGAGGTTGGTAGTGCCTGTCTTTTGCTGCAAATGTACTGTGTGAGGTAGCAGGGAGTTGCCTCTCAACAGTAAGCATACTGGATGTCCATTTGATGATACCAGTCCTAGAAGTAGCTGGACTGGGTCCCAGAGTGGAAACTTGGCATTCATCTACATGTTGGAGACAATGAAAGCTGTTCCTCCTGCCACCGATGAGAAATTGGTCATATCTGTTGGCCCTTTTTCATAAGGGTGGACTCGTTGCTGGAAACTGCTGACATGGAAACAGCCTGCACTCACTCTGAGGAGCTGGAAGATCTTTAAGGGTTTATGCACAGCAATGAACTCGTTGTTGTTATTATTATCTTTTATCTACAGAAATACCCGAGATGCCGTTTATGACACCTTTTCCATCAAGCAGAGACAATAACAGGGAACATGATCTTCTCATGCAGATGGTTCCTATAAATGACAATATGCACAAGATGAAATCCAGGGCAACACTTACGACATGTTTCTGTGACAAATGGGCTGATGAAAAAGTAAATGGGCTCCTGCGTGAGGTAGAGGTTGAGCGACTGCAACACATGTGAACTGCTGAGACACTGGCAGCGTGCTCAACAAATTGCTCTGCTGTTAGTTCACTTCCAGGGGCTGTGCAAGTTGCGGGGGTTTAACCTATGAAGTCATTTCTGGCTTGTATTTTGGGGAGATATGCACACTATCTAACTGATTACATAGGAAGCCTACATTTAGCCAGCATTGGTTCAACTACACTGTGGTACCTAGAGCGTTTCTGACTTCCCATTTCTGGGCAAGTGGAGTCGTCCCAACTGTACACTGGTGTGAAGCAGGCACCACATAACCCTGTACACTACAATTTCCCTGGAAGATAAGCCAGGCCATTTGCCCCAGAAAAGAGCAAGGGATCTTGAGCCACTGGGATAACCAGAAGCTCAAGAGATGGATGGCATGGTACACCCCACGGGCTTGTTGTAATACAGACAAACTCAGGATTTGTGTCTCTGAGCGCTCTCCAGAGGGGCAGACTAGCCTGGAATGCTGACCTTAGCAAATGCAGGTGGCTTGTCTCGTTAGCCCTCCAGGAAATATTTATTTAGTACCTAGGCTTTTCCTGAAGAGAGGTGTTGTGTAGGATTTTCTAAGATGAGGGATGGGGTATTTCAGTTCTACTGGCATTTTGCCAGTCTACATATCTGTGATAATACGTGCTGTAAAAAGGAAGCAGATACCTAAATTACACTCTTGTCTGCGTATTTTTATCGACAAATGTTAGAAGTAACAGGCATAATTGCTATCACAGAAAGGGTTTAAAGTTCCACTTCTTTACCATGATCAACTGATTCACTCTCTACCTTCCACACACTGTCAGTGTCACTCCTTCCTTCCATAGACAGCTCCCCCTATTTTTTTTGATGAGTCCCACAGGAAAGATTAAAACATTCCTAAGTGGGGAAAAACGTGGCTAGAGAAATCCATATCCCTGGGGAAGTCCAGGGCAGAAGTAACACCCTGCACGACACCAGTGCACCTTTCAGGGCAAGACCTGTGTCTGTAGGAGGCTGGCTGTTCGGCTCTCCTTGCTCCTGCCTGTCATAAGGCTGCTCTTACCAGCTTTGGTGCTCCCTGATGAGAGGAGTCACAGCCTGTATAAGCCTTTGTAGATGAAAATCTTTCACTAAATCATAGCTAGTTTAATGCAAAAGAAGATATTAACTAGCAAGTGGAGAGCAGAGAGGGGCAGCATCAGTTCTTCCCGATGCTCAGGAGTCGGGCGCTCCGGTGCGTATGTGAAAGGCTACATTCCCACCTGCCCCTGGATCAGCAAGGCATTTTCACAAAGATGCAGTTCTTCATGTGTTAGCAGTCCTTCTTACATCTAAAATAGCCTTTGGAAAGCCATACGTAAAAATAGTAGTACTGGTTTTGTTTGCTAAAGCCACCTACCTTACTCTACTTGATACAACCCTCCAACAGTAAGGACTAAAAGTTAAAGCATCTAACAGTAGACCGCCTTCTGGCAGGTCACTGCATCCCCCACTGGAGGTAAGAGGGAGTCTTTCAGTTCTTTGAGAAGCCGTTCAGCCTTGCAGGCCGATGCCATGGGATCCCCGCCGCCAGCTGGAAGAGGCGCAGGCCGCAGCGTGCGGAGCATGCCTAGCGGAGCAACGCCACGGTGCGCCAGCTCCAGCCTGCCCACGGCTGCCCAGTGACAGGGAAGGGGGCTGCCATGTCACGGCCGTTGCAGGCGGAAGGGATCAACCTCTCCTCTGAATGTCCAGTCAAACATAGTGGGAGATATTTCGCCCAGCTGTGATTTCACAAAATGTCCCTCTTTTGCACCCAGTCACTCCCTACTCACCAGTGGCTGGCTACCAGGCAACACTTCATACAAAAAAACCCATCTCAGCATCCTGTTTGAAGCTTTCTAATATACCTTCCTTCTCTGATGTTCTAGTCTCTCTTCCACAATATGAAGATTGTGCTGCTTTCCAGATGCGTACAGAACGGGTCACATTCAAAGCCCTGGTGCTTGAGAGCATGAGCAGACTGGCAATAGCGTGCAGTGGAAACTACAGAATTAAAAATTCCTACCATCAACCACTGGTTTTGGCTGGGAACTCTTTAGCCGCAGGGATGGCCTGAAACGGGTCCGGTCATTGAAGCTCCAGCTCTTCTGAACCTTGGTCGGGCTCCCCTCTGTAGCAATGTCGGCGCTCGGTGACCGGCGATCTCCGATTGAAGACTGCCTATTCTTAATACTTTGACCTCGTGGGCTGGCCATCCGGACCCGCTCTTTGAAACTTAACTTTTGACTGTGAAGAAGAGAAATATATTTTATTTCATAGTTCCTTCACTCCGTTTTCTTTTATCCTATGCAAATAATTTCTAAAAATTCTAAACAGTACGAATCAGTTTCTTACACACTTCTATTTTCATGGAATGTATTTCATCTGGGAATGAAAGTGATTTGAAATAATTGTTGTTTGATAGAGACATTATCAATGACTCTCTGTCTGACAGGACAGAATAACCTTGTAATGGAAATTAAAGTTAACAAATGAAAACAAAATTAAGCCAATTATTACAGATTAATCTCTAAAATATTCTTTTTATTCTTCGAATTTTTATCAGGTTTATTTCCGTGTTAGTTGGCCCAGCCAGCTCAGTGCATTTCTGACCATCGCTACAGATAAACAAGAAAAAGAATGTATTTATTATTACTGCATGCCATGTATTTTTTTTTTTTTTGTTTAAGAGGCATGAATAGTGCTGTTAGTATATTCATGCTTTTTCAAGACGTGGCACTTTCCAACATTTCATATGCATTGTTAGTGAACACTCACATTCAGAATTCCTTGTTACAGCATTCATTTGGACAAGACAAAAACAGAAGTAACAAAACATCCAAGAGACAATTGTGATCAGTGTGATGACTGATTAATGGAGATGTAAAGCTACACCGCGTGCTCAATAAAGTCATTACCTGAGATTAAGCTGGGAGCTTATTACCTGCAGCAGGTGCTACTTTAAGACAGTTACAACAGCCAAGCTGATGATTGTGATTGCTTGATCAAAGGTGGCCTGTACACTTACAGCTGGCCAAGAGTAAGCTGATTTTTCCCTTCCTGTGCTTATGACCTTCCCCTTCCAGTTAGCTGAATGTGGCATGTGTAGAGTTTCTACTTCTCGGTGCTTAAATTACTTTTGTTCATGTCTGAAAATACATGACGGACCCGTTCTGGTCGCCCCAGCTATCTGCAGATGTTTTTCATTACCTAGACTTTTTGCCTTTGTCTGGCTCTTCTTGAAGCAGAAGGCCCAATGGGAAAACAAAAGTTAGTTCTGATGTTTGGTTTAGAAACAAACACGTGTTTTATCTACAAGGTTAAGTTCAATCACTTGTACAAGGGAAGGGGCTTCTTGAGCAAAGGTCAACCCTACTCTTGTAAGGGGAGAGACGGAGTAGGCAATGGCTAGTCTTACTGCACTGGAGTAGGATTTGGGGGGGTTCTTGTAGAACACGTACGGCCAAGACAGTCTACCTGTAAATTATAATTGTACTTGATGTTAAGACACTTTCTAGTTCCCTCAGAGTCTTTGCATTTAACTTCAGCTTGTCAATAAGAGACGTTTTCAACAGAAGTGAATTCTGCAGCTAATTAACGAATGCTGAAGTGTATTATTTGGTTCTTAGATGTTTTACCAACTGCACTCTGAAAATAGAGTGTTAATATGTAATTATATGAAATGGAATGTAATTATAAACTTCTGTGGTTGTGAAATGTTGAGATAATCAGATATCTTTTCCATGCACAGCAGAGCAGAGCATTTCAATCTGAATACAGACATCACTGAAACTAGAAAGGATGCAGTATGCAGCAGGCAAAGCACATGCTGAGACGCTTATAATGAGATAAGTTTCAAGAATGCTACAAAATAAGCACAACAACAGAAAGATTATTAGATAAACGTGTTTCTATATGGCATGTCAAAACACCTGAAAGAATACCTTTACTGTGATTTCTCAAACTAACCCCCTTCCTCCCTCACCCCAAGTAAACAACTGTTGAAACAAACACATGATGGTGCTGGAAGTATCATCTCTTTCCATTGCAGATTGTTACCCACACCTGCAGTACTAAATCCTGTTGTGATTTCAATATAAAAGACCCTCAGAGCATATTATTTGAAAGAAAAGCAAGTTCTAAAATGTAATTTTCTATGAAAATTACATTTCATGACTTAATTACGTTTCAGTTCAGGAATCTTTTGAATCGCATGATTTTATGAAAATATAATCTGGAAAGTATTTATTAGCCTCGTTACTGCATACTATACAGCGTGAGCAACACAATCAACATGCACTTCTTATAGGTGTTATCTCTATGCACGTGTCCCACATGCTGTATTTACTCGTCTTAGGGTTCAAATTTCAGGAATAGCAAGTCAAGCACGAAATCAAATTATTGTTTTCTTGACCAATCATCTCACAAGGAAAAAAATTGCTGGATAGCTCTCTTCCTCTTGCACTAATTAAAACGAAAGGAAAATCTATAAACTAGCCATAAGTAAGATCAGTATGGGTCATACTTTTTTCTTTTATTATCCCAGTAACTCCAAACTGAAAATGAAAACAGAAAAATGAAAAAAAGCACAAATGTTCTTATGTCAATTGATTTGTAATAATGAAAACAATGGCTGCCTTTAAATGATTTGTGTATAGAGTTATAGATTCATTTCATTTATAAAAACTGAATGATACACAATGGCTACTTAACCTGAATATCTTTAGTTCTCCAAATCAAAGCAATGAGGCAATGGTGAAAGGAACAGTAGACACTTCATCTGTACTAGAGACGTTTGCAAAAGTGCAACACTGAGAATGAAAACATTAATTTAAAATGCTGACCTCACACCTAAAACACCCTGCTTTGTAGTAAGGGCAATGTAAAGGCATGCCAAGGACCCATGCTGAGAGTGCTCAATCATGAACAGATACGGAGCAGCCGGAGGATGGGTGTTTTAGAAACTCTGTTTTGGCTCTTGAGTTTCTCCAAAGACACCAGTTGTAGCAGTTCCTTGCTCTTGGGTCCCTGTTCCTATTTTGAGACTGGTGGGAAACGCTCAGAAGTAGACTCTTTTTGATGTCACTGGGTCCTGCTCAGCTCCCTGGGCACAGGCATAACCTGTACTGCTTGCAGCAGTGGGAAATTCAGGCCCAGGAGAAGTAAACCTCTGTCCTTGGAAGCACCCTGTCCTGAGACTCTCCTATACACGGCAGATAACATATCACAGAGGAATCACCGAATCTAAGCATTTTTCGGGCATCCTGGCCAGGCTTTTTCCTGCAGTGGAAGAATAGTACCTGGCTCTTGATGCCCTGTTGCAATAGTGGTGGAGATTGTAGACCACTTCTATACCATTTCAAGTGCCTTTGGCCCTTTTTTCACTTGAACCATTGGCCGCTGAAGCCTTTTCCATCACTGATTTACGACACAATAGGTATTTGGCGACACTAGAGGTCACTGTAGCTTCACCGGAGGAAGAATGAACACCATCCTGTGATGGATCAAATGACTAGACTTGATAACATTTTATTTTAATTCATAAGTGCTGACAAACATTTGCTTTTCCTTCCTGTATCTATAGCTCCGTCTGTCTTCCATGGACCATCCTGCTATCACGTTTGGTCCATCCTGCTATAATGTTTGGTTAGATGAGCATCTCCCGCTCCCCGATTTCCCTTCCTACCTTCCATCATGTTTGCGGTCAAGTTTATCCTCTGCCCTGCCTCAGCCTCAGACCTGCCAACATCTTCCCACCAGTTGCAATTTATGATCTGTTTTTCAACTTTTCAATATCAGCAATCAAACATAAATATCAATTTTCAGCAATTAATTTTCCATAAATATGAATGTTGATTCTTACCAAGGCCACAGATGACTACCGAAATTAAGCTAAATTGAACAAATGCAAGTGCAATGGATAGGACAGTAAAGTCTAATAGCTGAAGTTCAAATGTTTAACTCTTTTCCACCAGTCTCATGCTAGAAGCATGAACCCAAGTATTATATCTCATACCTTCAATGAGTAATAATAAGAATTTCAAGACATAATGTCTTAATCTTCAAACAGAAAAAAAAGAATACACTTTTTGTGTATTTTTTCTTTTTCAAAGCAGTTTCTGATGAATAGAAACTATTTTTCTTCATTTTTCATCATCAGCTTGTGCTTCTATTGATTTTTAAAATTTTTTTTAAAATACGGAAAAATTGTAACAAGCTTTAGATATGAATCAAGAGATTACTCTCTTAAGTTCCCTTAAGATCTCTTTAAGATCTAGGAATTACCATTTTTGGTAAGAGACACAGTTTCAATAGAATTCCACTGAAGCAGGTGGTTGTTTTCACATGCATTTCTCTACCCCAGAGATACAGGATGCAGGCACAGCTCCTAAAAGCTGTGTGTCCAAGGGGATTCTTCTCGATAACAACTACGTTTTAACGGTTGATATTGCCTAGCATGTTATATCTTAACATACCCTGCTAATTATTAGTTATTTGACAGAGAACTCAACTGCCATGGCTATAAAAATCCTCTTGGACGTGGGGAAATGTCGTTATCCAAATATTCAACACCTGATTTAGGTCTCGGCAGGATAATGCATTCCAAAAGTTCACGTCTCAGGCACAGGAGGAAAACAGGGCTGAACAAATCACGGCGTGCTGCACACTGCAATTGTCCAACTGAATGAACTTCAAAGAACTGCTATTATTGCTATTGTATTAACGTCATTGCAGGCAACAAGCAATGAGGGGGATTACAAGCACTTAAAAAAATCAAGAAACGTCCTTTGGAGAAGTAAGGAACTTTAAAGCACTAAGAAGGGGAAGTCAATGAATCATGCACCTGATGTTAGTTGGCATTCTCAGACATCGTGTGAATAGGCAGGATGCTGAATACCTATGTTTCCGAGGGGTGTACATCCTGAAGAGCTTCTGTTTATTACTACAAAGCTTACTAGGAGTGAGGGGAAATAGAGGACCATGTTACTAAGCATTCCACTACGAGGTAGGGGTTAGGTTTTCCAAATCAAGTTAGATAGACTCTTGATTGCTGGCTGTTTCTTTTTCACATGGTGCATGCAAAGACAATAATTTACATTAAATCTACTTTTAGAAACAGATATGATATAGCAGCATATGGAGAGAATTCCAGAGTATAATTTACTTGCGTGTCTCAGAGCAGGGGATGAAGATACACTTTTTTCCCCAAGCTCCTATGCTAGCAAAACTCAACCATATTGCACTGGAGAAAGTGGTCCGAGTAGGGAATCCTTATTCAGGCCCACTATTTAAAATGGTAAAAGAAGCGTACACTTAGATGAGTGAAATTCATTCTTTGCCGAGAACCAACGCGTGGCCTACACATAACTTAAAACCGTTTATGCTCTCAGTATGTTGTAAGATTCATCAGTCTGGAGCTGGTTCCCTGCACAGGAAGAATTTCAGCCACAATGTATAATAAATATTACTTGCACTCAGTGTGTATATTCACAGATATAGTGAATTTAACATCCAGAATTTTAAACTGCTTGCTGAACTCTAACACTGATTTTCAGAACCATCCTATTTGCATCATGGAAAATACCAAAAAGGCTGCCTACCATTACTTTGATAAATGATTAACTAGAACACGTGATATTTTGAGAAACAGAAAATATAATGTGTTGAACATATTTTTACTAAAATGAGCATGAAGCTGCAGCCTCATCATCACAGCTCTCTTTCTCAAACACACAGCAACATTTAGTTACCTAATGAAAGGCTGTAGGTCTCTACAGATGACGAAATACAAAAATTCATGTTTGTAAACAGAAAATTCATTTTAATAGGTAATAAAAATTATCGTTTACCTAAAGCAATAAATGTTTTCTCCACTGTTATAAAAACGGAGGAAAGAGCAAAGAGCATATTCAGAAAGCAATCCAATGCACTGCTAAGTATAAACACAATTTAAAGAGTGAAACAAGAAGCAGCTTACTTAGTTCACATAGCATCCCATGCAAGTCACTCAGCATTGCAGTAAGAAAGAAGTTAAACAGTCGAGGACAGTTATCTCTAAGTACGTTACAGCAGTTTGCATTTACATTTTTACCACAAAAGACCACATACATGACATGTATTTTAAGTGACACAAACATATAGCAATATATCAGCATAAGAACTATGAACAGCCATTGACAAAACCACACCTTTTAAAAAAAGCACTGAGTGGTCTGTAGGTTGTTTACTGTAGACTAAGATCTCAGAAAAAGTTTAAAATTGTGGATTTTCTTGAAAAATGCACAGTTGTATTTCTCTTGTAAAAGCATAGGCTCATCCTGACCTTATAAATTCAGTTTTTAATATGCTATTAGCAATCACTGGAACAAATCTTTAATATCTTTATCTTTATCTTAATATCTTTAAAATGTTCAATATCTTTAATATTGTGTCAACAAGTTCATTTTTATACCTACCCTAATACGCAGCTGTAACAGCCCATAATAGATAAGATTTTCTGAAGAGACAAATATCTTCTATCCAGTGAAAACAAAGTCAAAAAAACTTGCTAAATTGTTGACTTCTTTTAAAATCACAGTAGTTATCACTAATGGAGCATGTAATGTAATTTTGATAGTTGGGTGTTTCTTGCATCTAGCTTCTTCTACTTATAATTAAGTTGGTCTCTGTCTGTAAACTGCTCTCAGGTAAAACTGGGAATAAACTATCTTTTCATAAAGCACTGTTTTGGAGACAGTAACATATGGAGATGCATAATCACTTACTGCCAACTTCAGTCTCACCTTTAAAAAAGCTGAAGGCAACTTTAAATGGTATTGTTGAAGAAGCAGGAAATAAGGCTGGTGCGTACAAAAAGGTTCGACCAAGCCGCAATAATTTTACAAGGTCAGGACTCGCCAGCGAGCTTAGGGAGGTAACATATATGAGAAATCACAGAGCGCCCATAGCTGCTTGCTGCGAAAGACGGAGCAGGTAACTGCTGGCAGGGGAGCAAAGCCAGCCATCTCGAGAGACTGCGATACTAGTGACAGTCACGGGCACCTCAAGAAAAAGGATAAAGTCAGACGACAGAGCAGCGATTTGAAAAGTGAAGTGGGACGTGGCAAATTCATATAAATGTGTTCGCCACCCTTTTTGTGGACTGGGGTGTCAGGCTCCTCACGGACGCCGCCGTCACTAAAAACAGCGCGGGAACCGCAGCACAACGCAGGGGCAGGTGCGTTTCAGGGGCTGACGTGTCACTGACACTTTTCTCTTGGGTTTTTGATTTTTGTCCCTTACAGGTAATCACTATTCTCTGATCGCGACTATCCCGGAGCGCAGACTCCCGCCTACTCCCCCTTTTGGAAGCGGTGTAATTTCTCTTGCAGCCAGACCGTCCTTTCCTGTCCTTCGGGATCGGTTCTTTGAGCTATTTTAAGGAAGGGAATAGCACCACCACTTAGTGCCGTAAGACCTTGGGTCTCCAGGGCCCGGACAAGCCAGGCGGTGGGGACCTGGCAGCCCAGTGGGGCTCTCAAGGCCGGGCTTATGGGCTAGTTTCCACAGCCAAATTAAACTACATGCCTGCAGCTTCCTCTGCAAGGGCTGGAAACTGTACGCGTGCGTTTCCCGGCAGACGGCAGCGCCCTCGGCCTTCGCGGGAGCTGGAGTCCGTGCAGACTGCGTCGCTCCTTAACTGCTACTGTGGCACCTGAGAGCTCCTCCTCAAAAGTTAAAATATATGACTAAAAAAAATAAACCACCTAGTTTTTCCATACAGAAGCTGAGACAAAGAAGCAAATCTCAGCAATGTTATCCCACCAGTGTAGGCTAAATCCAAATGAGATCTGTCATTTTTATCAGTAAACAGCTATAATGTATTGAGCCTATTGTACCGAACCATTTGAAAGCCTTTTAAGAAGTAAAGATTTAAAAGGTATAAGAAACAAACTACAAACCTGCTAGAAGCTTCCCCTTGTTCTTTTCTTCAGGTCAGGGAGTGGGAGGGAAAAACATATTTGTTATGCAGATAGTAATCACATTCCTTAGTTACAGATGATGTTAGATATATGCTAAACTGGAAATGGATATGTTAAATAAAGTAGTGTACAACACATTACAGGGCAACCACAAAAACATTCAAGCAAGATTCATAACTACAATGCTTCTGAAAAATAAACTTTTCAGTTGTTTTAACACATGCATAACATGCTTAGTACATACCACTGCAGACTGAGTTGGCAAAGCACTTAGGCAAAATGCATTGCTGACACATATGTAACAGAAAGCTGTAGACTCTTTATTAGGTAAAGTTATTTCCGGTAAATAAAAAGGTTTAATTTTAGGATATCACAGCAATGTGCTTATTTAAAATAACAGTTAGATGGCCTTTTTGAGGGAGAGTCATGTTTTAGAATTTTTCAGGTGGGATACAGCTTCATTATTTATGTAGTTTCTTAGCCATTCATTTACACAAATGTTGCCTTCAATCTGTTTGTATATGGCAAAAGAACTGCACACTTATTAAAATCAATATTCCATGTAACTTTTAATCTAAAAGCTCCTTTTAGTTTGAAGCGTTTTGGAATTATACTTATGGTAATGGATTACTTATGGCTCTGTTCTTGTCAACTCTTTGAAATTCAAAGATCAGCTTTGGGTACCCAGCCAAACCTTTTTTTGGCTGAGCTTTTTGGCATACGATTACCTTTTTACTGTCACGTGGATGTTCATCACCCAGTTTTGAGAGAAACCACTAATTCTCTCGCACTGTCTGCAATTACAACAATTAGGACGCTTATCACTGCTTTCCTATAAGGCTCTCATTGCATTCCTTTTTGATCTTTATCTGGTATCTTTTATTCCCTGATTTGGGTCTGGTATTGGATCAATCAGTTCAGTACCTGCTGGTAAATCTTTTTCTGAACTACTGAAGTGTCTTGGACCGCCAAGGCTCTGTGAATTCTCACCCAAACTATGACATTGACATGTTTTTTTGTTTGTCAAACTGTGACATCAGGTCTTTTTGGTTATTTTCCACTGGCTGCGTGTATAACAGATGGTATAATTTCTCCTAAGAAAATACCAAATGCCATAAGGTTTTCTCCCCCTCGGAAAGGTAGAGCTGCTGCTATAGCCTTGCACAGAGGTACAGGCCGAGCAAAGAATATAAAAATACTAACGAACTTAAGGAACCAGCTCTGTATTAATCTTATCATTTCCCCCTTAGAGACAATTTGGAACTAGGCTAACAAACATTTTGATTTCACTTGATAAAAAGAAAAATCCCATTCAAATGCCTATTTGCTCAAAAGATGGTGGATCTTTAACACAAAAGTGACTGGACAAAGAGATGTGCATGCCATGGCACAAATAATTAGGGACTGAGCCTCCAGGTAAGTCTACTTTTGGTCACTGAGGCCACTTCTAGAGTGAAAGGAAAGTGGACTTGCATTGCCCTCCCCCCAGCCCAGGTCCCCGATCAACCATATTTAGTGGAAGAGCCGCTGGTGTTTTTTGTCCCATGGAAATCAGGACCGGGGGGAGAGGAGAAAGGGGAGTGCGTAGGGTTACAGCCCGTAGTGCATCTGGAGCGCTCTTGGGATGTGCAGTGGCAGTGAGATGGGCTCCCTGGTCCCACAGATCAGGCACAGCCTTTCAACCCCGACCTTCAACGGGGCTAAACTGGTGTTTTACATGGACTGATGTGGATTTATACCAGGATTTGGTTCAGGATCTAAAGTTTCAAGATTGGAGGGAGCCCTTTTTGCTCAGGCAATAAGTAGCATTCTCCAGGAGGTGTGTTCTTCTATAAGTCGGTTATAAATAATAATACATCTTTACCAAGAGCGTGAAGGAGGGATTAGCATAACTTCAAAATGGAGACTGTGACTATTACTAACAGCTGATTACTGCTAAAGCACAGCTGGTATGGAACATGGGTGGTAGTAAAATATTAACCTTGATATATGAGGTTTTGGGGGGAAGATGTTTCTAATGTCTGTATTCAATGATACAGTTGACAGATAAATAGAAATGACTTGTATTTGTCCCCCTGTACCAGGCTCCTAGATAATACTGGTCTGATTCGTTAGCTGAAATTTTTAATGAGCGGACTTGAGAAGACAAAACAAGACAAAACAGACAAATACTAATTCTCTATAAGCTTGAACAGACATCAAGAACAGCACCAGCTGCCACATTTGTACCTACTTTGTAGGGCTGCAGGTATGCAAGGCCTTCAAATGAGGCTTCCAGGTAGCAATGGAAACCGATTTCTCATCAGCCGCATAACTACGCCATACACACTACGTGCAGGATATATGATAAAAAAAGAAAAACAAGGCAAGAGGGAGCAGGGGATGAAACAAAAAATTGAAAAGCAGATTAGTAACCAATACAAGTCATGGCTTTCTTTTATCATTCATAGCACTGATACATGCCTGAGGGGAGGAAGAATACTTTCATAATATCGCCAGGTGGCTGTCAGGTTTGTTCGGCTGGCATCAGTAGAATAAAACCGCCAAGTAGCCTGGTATGAGGAAACAATAGAAAAGCACAAAGGAACCAAGAACATGAAGTGACAATGCCACCGCACTGATTGTGGAGAGAGCCAATTTCGCTCAGATTGGGAGGTGATCTATTACATTGACTTAGTAAATATTGCTACCAGTAAAAACCTAGCAAAACGTTCGTGAATCATAACATGGTAAAGTAAGAGTTACTGGCTCTGTGGAAGTACTAAAAGATATTCAGCCTATAAAGATGCTCAATATGCAATGCAGTGATTTCTTTGTGAAAATCCCATGGGAGAAACCCCCACACGCTTGCAGTCTGAGGTAAAGAAAGTGTCATAATACATTTTGTAAATGATACCGCAAAACAGACAAAAAGCATTCAGAAGAAAAGTGAAGTATTCTCTGTGGTTTGAAACACTGCTGAATGTTTAAAACTGTGAAATAAATCATTTCAAAGGTGAGAGACCAAAGCAGAGCACTGAATTGAGATTTCACCATTTAGATTTATAACTGCATGTAGACGGTGAGACATATCCTCAGTTCAACAAACTTGTACAGCTTCCCTGATGTCAGCATAACTATATTAATATGTACTAGCTGAGCATCTGCGTTGACACCTTTACAAGTTTATTAGATTTCTTTCCTTTCTTCCTTCTTTCCCATAACTTATTGTCCTGCTGCAGTGATGCTATATAGGCATAGACATTGGCAACTCTACCACACATTTCAGTGCGGCAAAATCCAACAGATGTCAGGCAATGATCTTGGTTAAGTATTTCTTGACAGGTCTCTCCGGGCCCTTTGCTCTGATATGTGTAGCATCATCCCAGATGAAAGAATGGAAATCTTAGGCCTGATTCTCCGTATTCTCACTCTATTTAGTGATTTATTTTTGTATGAAGAGGAAAAAGCCCAGTTCTCATTTAGCAATGTTTAACATCAAATAGATACATGCAAAAGTTACAGCAGCATGGAAAAGCCAAAGTAATCTCAGTATTGCCCCCGTTCTACACAAATCCTAATCCCAATCATTTTAAAAATTTAGACTCCTTGAACTGGCAATAGGTTTAAAAACTGTTTAGCTGCAAAGAGGCTCATTCTGTCGCTGCCATTGCACAGGCAACACAATGAAGAAATATCATACGCATTGCCATGTTATGCAGCATGTTTCAAGCTAGAATGAAGAGTTAAATCAATTAGTCTGGCTTCCTGTATACTGCCAACCATTAAATTTCACCCAGGTATTCTTCTGTTGAGCCTAATACCTCAGAAATACCTGTAGAAACACATATCTTCAGCAGCAGGTGAAGAACATGCCACTTACTCTGTAAGCTGTTCCACTGTTTAATCATTCTCACTGTCAAAAACCTGCGCATCGTTTTAAACATGAAACTACTTGGTTTTGGCTTATAGCCAGAGCTATTTGCTATGTTTCCATCTGCTACGTTAAGCAGTCCTGCAATTTCCAGCATTTTCTCTCTGGACTTTCATGTTCAAATAACGTTCACACTAAATATTTCTTATGATCTAAACAAACGGAGAAAAGGATGTCTATATTATATAGTTCAGTGTTCTATACTGATACCTTAGCTATCTTTAAGCTAGGTGTAGGCTCTGGCAAAAAGTTCATCTACGGCAACAGAGAAGTTAACACGGACTAATTCTACTGAGCCAATGATCAGAAAATGCGTATTGTCCTGATAAACTACACTGTACTGATTTCTGTGGTGGCTTCTTACCAATATCCACAATAGACCCTTTAAAAAAACTTGGGCACTGATATAGTATGCTATGATACGCAGTTCAGACCCATCCTGCATTTCTGAATATGAAGTATTTTCTCTAGCCCTGGGCTCATTTTTTCCGATTGTTTTCTTTGCTTTCTCCAGCTATCCAGCCTCATTTACAAAGTGTGGATACTGAGTTGATATGTAGCATTTCGTACCAGCATCATCACGTACAGCGGTAATATCAGCCGCCTTCTACTTGCTACACTTCTGGTTCTTTATCTAAGGACTGTAATAAAATTTGTCAGAGTAACACACTGAGAAGTGTCTTCATCCTTCCCCCACTGCTCCTTCTCCTCTGTCCTGCTCACCTTTGGTCAATCTTTTTCAAAGTCACTAATATTAGGATATAGTCGTGTATTAATAGCCTGAATTCACTGCTTCTTGATCTAGAGTTTTGTATTTGGGATAGTAAAGCATGTGGTTGGAATCCCTCTGGCCTCGTCCATTCCGACCGCTCCTGGATTTCCAAATCCCTGCCTCATCTTTAATGCTCTGCCAGGCCTTCTGCCATCAACAAATATTTCCAGCAACAATTTCACATTAATTTCAAGATCACTGATGAGTATACTGAACAACCTTCACACTTTACACTCACGGGATCCCACCACGAATGTCTTCCATTCATGGTGATTCTTCCCAATAAGAGTCACTTCCTGAGATTAGTTGGTCAGCTACTCCTAATCTATTTAGCCGATTGCCTTACAAATATTTTGGTTGGACTGTCATATGATAATAAAATGAGCTACCTATCAAAGCTTAAATCTATTATATCTGATTTCTCTATCCACTGAACTTTAATCTCATGAAAGAATTAAATTAGCGTATAAGTATCAGAAAAGATGTTTCATTAATTCTATAGAATAATAGATACAAAAGGAACTGATATGTATTTATTAATTATTCTAATAAATATTAAAAGTTTAATAATCACTCAGTAGAAACACTGGAAACATTTACTAACTCTAAGAGTGCTTCAAAGACAGACTGGCATCTATTCTGAACTTATAATGGAACTCCAGTATATTCATGCTTGGCTACTTTATTTGGATTTACTATTTATGTATTTATATATTAAACTCTACAAAGCAGCTGTTTAAACTAGCAAACATCATGCTGCTTTTACTTATTTTTTTTCTTCCTAAAACATTGATCCGCACCATCCTCTCAATATTGTAGCTGAAACCATTTCAGAGACAGTTTCAGACAATTCAAAATTGCTAGAGCCTATGTAGGTAGAAACCTTTTGATCTGAATGTTATCGAAAGCAATTCTCTGTACAGGACACTTTCCATTTTCACCAAATATATCACTCTTTGAAGCACTCTCAACACTCTAGTAGTGAAAAGTAATGTAGTATAGGCAAGAGCGCTCGCTGTCAGTCTGGCTGTCTAGGGATCAATTCTATATTCCCAAGTAATTCACTAACTGCAGCAAGCAAGAAGGCATGCAGTTGACAACCTCTACTCGGTTTCTTGGGCATGGATAAGACTCATAAATCATACAGAGATATGCTGTATACAGAATTACAGAAACACAGAAACACATGGCAATTACTGAACAAAGTTATTTAATGAAACTATTCAATCTACTAAAAACTATTTCCACACAATTTTGCAACGTGAAATGATAAAACTTACTCAAAACATGTGCTTTAAATCACCCGCTATTATCTTTTCATTGATTTCATATTTACCTGAATTAAACTGGCAGCCGGATTCCTTCTTTTCTCAAAATGCTTCTGACGATGCTGTTCCTGCACTTTTAATGCAAATCCTGAGCCAAGGATGCCCTACAATGCAAGACATCATTCTATCATTATGTAGGTAGCTTTTTCAACCCATGTCCATAATCAATGGCAAAGGCTTTGTGAAGACAATGTTTCATATGATTACTTCAGATAACACATCTATTACAGTACAGGGCTTAACAGTAGGGCCTGTTCTTCGCAAGACAAGAGACTACTGAAGCGAGTCTCTCTGTGGTGCTACCACTGGCAGCTCATCCTAACCATTGCTTGGATTTGTGCTACATGCAATGCTGGTGCTCACTCTTTTGCTTTTACAGAAGTTAGAATATGCCTGAGTTAACAGGTTAAGATCATTTCCTCTCACTCCCATCTAAATAATCACTCTTGTTCATTCTACAGGCTATGAAAAAAAGCTGATGATGAAACCTCTCCCTTTTTGGCTTTTTTTCTTATTATTGA